TATTTTCATGACAAGATCGAGTTAGGACTTCAATGGTATTGTTTAGATCAGTTGAATGGTTATATACTCCCTCCGTCCCGAAAACAACTTCTCACTTTCCTTAAATGAATGTCCCAAAATTAACTTCACACTTCAATACTTTCCTTATTTGGCAAATTATCTACATCAAAAAAGTGATAAACAGTGTCAAACAGTGTTTAAACAGTGCCAAACAGTGTTTAAACAGTGCATTCTACACTAAAATCAAATTTATTTCCTAAAAGTGTGTGAAAGTCCAACCGGGAAGTTGTTTTCGGGACGGAGGGAGTAATAGAACTAGATTTATTGTCACTACATTTTGAATTCATGCGATTGAAGCAAGAATATGTATATAGGCATCTATATCTCCTTTCCAATCACTATGGGCTACACTTGCAACAAATCATATTTAATCATGAATAGTATATGTGGCATTAAAAACATGAATCAGAGATCTTAATCCATGATAAGGAAGAAAATTCATTAGACACTAGCACAAATATTGTCTTTGGAAGCTTTGCAAGACCTTTTAGTCTAATTTAATACTTGTATTACATTATATGTTATCGATAATAGTCATAATACGAATTAATAAGTAGCAAATCCTAATGAATAATGCCAATTCATTACCCCTAAAATTTTCATATTTTTAATATTTATTGTACAGATTTATACTTTATGCCGTTGTGGTACTAGCTTACTCCGATTTTTTATTTTCATATTTAATTAGATCTCGAATAAAAATATATACATCAATTGTCGGTGTGTATGCATGCATCGGTATAATTAGTTTAACTTTAAAATATTAATCCGTACATAGTAGTATTCCTTTATCTACATACTGAAAAGGTGTAACTTTATCAACAACAAACAAATAATGAACAAGGTTACTTTAAAAAAAAAAACAAATAATGAACAAGGTTAAGAATAAAAAGTACGAAGTATAAAAAATAAAATGTAGGAGTATAAATTATCAAATCAATTACTCACTCCGTCCCGCTTTCCTTTTTTGGATGTTTCAAAAAGAAGTTCCCCTTTCCCTAAATGGAAAGTTACCATACATCAAAACAGTGTCAAACAGTGTCAAACAGTGTTTAAACAGTGTCAAAACAGTAAAGTTTATTCTCTGGTAAGTTTATTTTCTTAAAATGTGTGTAGATGAGTAGATCAAACCGTGAACATACCAACGGGACGAAGCGAGTATATACGAAGTACTACGTATATGATTGCATTTTATTTTCTAGTTTTGAATGCTCAAACGGTCAAACATATACTAGTATATGCCAAGGTCACCCAGTAATGAAAAATAACTATAATACTTTATGATTAATTTATGTCAGTGTTTATCATTTATCTATGTTCAAACTATTTAATTACTCTGTATGATGATTTAGGATGTTTTTTGAACTATTTTCAATCCCAGACCAAATCAAACTTAAACAAATCAGACCAAACTTGGAAAATTATAAAACACAGAGAGCAGACCAGACCAGATCAAACTTAAACAGACCAGACCAAACTTGGAAAATTATAAAATACACAGAGACTAGACATTTACCAAATTAGACTTAAAGTCTTAAACAAGCCAGACTATCAAATTTCAGTAAAAAAAACCACCCTAACTCATACTAGTATCGTCAATATGTATATTAATTAGCCATCCTCAAATATACTGCGTATGATATACTCCGTATGATTTGTACTCCCTCCGTCCCTAATAACTTTGCCAAGTTTGACCGGCACGGGGATTAATAAAGTAAAAACTGTGTGGTTGAGGTTTGTGCAGAGGAGAGAGAATTAACTGGAACCACAAATTCTTTACTTAAATGGGAAAGTGGCAAAGTTAATGGGACATCCAAAAAAGGAAAGTTGGCAAAGTTATAAGGGATGGAGGGAGTAATGTAATGCAGTAGTAACCTTTTATCATAGATTTTTATCATACCTTTTATAGTAGGTGTTTTTTCACTAAATTATCTCTCGTATGATTAAAACTACATAAGTTTCCCAATGTATGACTTGTTAGTTATTATTCTCAATACATGATACGTGGAAGTATGCATGGACATTCACGGTTCTTTTTATTCCTCGGCTACCCTCAAGCATAAATATAGGAACTCATTTATATTAATCCTATTGAACCGCTTGTGATATGCACAAACAGAGCAAAACGTGTATTCATTATTGGTCTTCCTAAAAATAAGGAGAATTTATTCATATATGGTAACTGCTATTAGTACTACTCAATACTCACTATTTCCTATTGTTCCTAATTTTTATTCCACGGCTGCCTTCTAATCAATGAATATGGTGTCTTTCTCCTATTTTCTAGCATATGATAAATTCTATTCCTAAATATACGAACATATAATATAACAGTTAATTGAATAACTTAAATCACAATTAATTTAGAGAAGAGATGTACACTCGGAACCTTGTTTCCATTCCAAACCAATCGGCCATAATAATAATTACTGCCTATATAATATTATTACATACTGCTTGATCATAAATACGGAGTATGTTATAAAAATATAAATACTGCTCAGAATATAAATATAATATTATTATATATAATGCTCATAATTATATGAATACGTGTGAGTGTATTTTACTGCCCTTCTATATTGCACCATAGATGTACTTTCACTACTCATTCATTTTTATTGTCCCTCTATATTGCATCGTAAATACACTCTCACTGCTTGTTCATTATTATTGTCTTTTATATACTCTATATTTTTACTTTCGCTAATGTATTTATTCAATTGTCTAATGTGTTATCATTTATGTATCAATTGGGCAGTAATTTATCTATAAAATTATCCTCATTTTCTTTGCTATTGATTTAATTGTTTCATTTACTGCCCTCACTTTTTTCTTTTCATTTAATTTTACTGCCATCCTATGGGCAATAACTTTTATTATGCCAAATATGTCATATTTTCCATTTCGTACTACACCCGTGTGTATCAGGACAGTAAAGTATTTAGTAAAGTGTTCTCATTACGTGTGTTATAATTTTACGTGTTCATTTACTATCCTCCTATATATGGGCAGTGAAGCACACTTGTCTAATTTCTATTTTAATAAAGATATTCGTAGTGATTAACTTTTGTTAATGTATTCATTTAATTGTCAAATGTGCTATCATTTATGTATCAATTGAGCAGTAATTTATTTATGTCCTCATTTTCTCTAATACTAATTTAATCAGTACATTTACTACCCTCACTTTTTTCCTATTGCTTTAATTTTATTGCCCTCCAATGGGCAATAACTTTTACTATGCATAGCCTTTGCGTTTATTGCACTAGTGACATCTATTACTGACTTCTATGAGAATAGTTCCTTCTAAATCTTTTGGTAAAATAATTTAGTATAAACTCCAGTAATATTTATACCGGTGTCTATAAATCCGAAAGAAAATTTTATAAAATTATTTATTCATTGTTAATCCGGAGTAGTAGTGACTAGGGGTGGACTCGGGCCGGTCGGCCCGACCCGGGACCGGCCCGACCCGGGACCGGCCCGACCTGGTCACTGTTTGGCCCGGCCCGGCCCGTGGCCCGGTGGGTCCACCGGTTCGGTTTGGCCCGGCCCGGGTGCTGGGCGGTCCGGGCTCGGGCCCAGCTTTTGGTGAACCGGCCCGGCCGGTTCGGGCCCGGTCCGGGCCGGATTTTATTATTATTTTTTTTTTTTTTGAATTTTTTTTAAGTTTTAGGTTGGATTAGGTATTTTGGGCCATTTGAGGTGGTTTGGGATGGTTTGGGGTTGAGGGGGAGGGGTAGGGGGTTAAATAGGAGAACCAAAAACCAAAAAAAAATATGTGGGCCGGTTGGCCTGGCCCGGCCCGGCCCGGTTTGGCCCGGAACCGGCCCGGCCCGGTTTGGCCCGGAACCGGCCACCGGCAGTTCGGGCTCGGGCCTATAACTTCTGAACCGTGAACCGGCTGGGCCCGAACCGGCCCGAGTCCACCCCTAGTGACTAGTGACAGTTTCTACAACACTCCGTATTAATTGCTTTAATTCCTTTTTGAAATGATTCATTTTTTTATAAACCGTGTCCACAAAGAAGTTGAGGGTAATAGAGTAAGTTTACATCCTTATTAAATATCCATGGCACGTATTTAGTCATACTTTAGACAGAATTCATATGTAGTCATATATTGAGAAATTCTCTTTCTTTTAGTCATATAACGGTATTTTTCCCGGTAAAACTCAAAGAAAATATACGTAGAAACTTTAACGTAGTTACTTCGTATGTGAAAGGGAAAAATGCCGTTATTTTCTACGTATATTTTCTTTGAGTTTTACGGCTTTTACCTCAGCACTCTTTCTTATTTTTCTTAAATTTATAACACAAATACCCCTCAAAGTTATTTCTAAATGATTCATTTGCATCCATCTGCATGTCAAATACGCTGTACTCATTAAATTCACAATTAGTAGTAATCAGACGTCATTAAACCAGTTCAGAAGAGTTTTTTCCACTTTTAGTCCTCCGACTATTACGTCATTGACACTTTTAGTACTCGACTTTGATTTTTTCCATTTTTAGTCCTCGACTATTGCGCTAGAGACACTTTTGGTACCTTTCTTTGAAATTTTCCATATTTAGTCCTTTAACTTTCATAAAAATGACACTTTTCGTCCTTCAACTATTGTAATAGTGTCATTTTTAATCCTCCACTTATTGTGTCTAGACCATAATGAGATGACTAAAAGTGTCAATTTGACATTAGTCGAGGGACTAAATGTGGAAAACCTTGAAGTTGAGGACTAAAATTGTCTCTAACACAATAGTCGAGGACTAAAAATGGAAAAAATAAAAGTCGAGTACCAAAAGTGTCACTGAGATAATAGTCGGGGGACCGAAAGTGGCAAAAACTCCAATTCAGAACATAAAACTACACCTCCAAGTGAAATCATTGAGAGAAGAGGTCCCTGATCAAGAGGATAACTAATTTAAAAAAGCAACAAAAATTGGGCAGCAAGAACTGAACTTTAATCCAAATTGCGAAGGAAAGAGAAGCAGAACTTTATTAATTATTCCCATGGTAAAGAGACTCAACATGCCAAAACTCACAACCATGCACACACAAAAAAAACTCTATTGTGCCATATTTTCCACATTCATTTATAGCTTGACAAGGTCATGTATAACTAATAAACTCCCACTAGTAAAACATGGTATAGAAAACATCCTTAAAGAGTCTTGGAGAAGAAGATAATACTTCCATCAATGACTGGATTTCTTGTCCTTGGGTATACCGAGCCTGGTTCGGAAATCTTCTTCCATAAGAGGAATACCATCGCGCAATTTGACCACAGGTTCCCACCCTAGCAACTCCTTTGCCTTTGTGATGTCTGGCTTTCTCTGCCTAGGATCATCGGGAGTATTTTCTACCTCTATGATTTCCACCTCTGGATTTATCATCTGACAAAGAAAACCAGCTAGAGATTTTAACAAGTTTTCAAGGAAATCATCAGCGTGTTTATCATCACACACACTGTAATTATTTAATAAGTAAATATCTATAGTACTCCGTAATATATAAGAAGGTTATGGGTCAAGTTCGGGTATCCAGTACCCGTGAGTGATGATAGATGGGATTGGGGTAGACTCATGTATCAAAACCCGTAACTAATTGGTTTGTGATGGGTTAGGATAGTATTATAAGATGTAGGCTCCGGGAACGGATTTTGTGAAATGGGCCAACACCCGACTCCACTGATATCTCTAGAGGGATTGGAGGGGAAGATTTTGGATGGCTTTGTCTATATCTTGATAATATATAGACCAAGTCCTCCAAAACCCTCCAACCAAACAGACCCTATTTCTACCGCTTGCTGATTTTAAAGGCTACCCACTGATCCATGAGTTGAGAATGAGACATAATCCAAGAAAAGTGTGTGAGAGATCTTACCTCCTTCACAGTCTGTGCAAGTTCTTTCATTGTGAACTCACCTGAAAGTAAGAAAACTCATATAACTATTTCCATATGGTTAAATGCTGATGCGTCTTGAAAAGATAGGTTCTAATCCATAAAAAATCAGATTCAGACATATAAGACTGACCTGGATTCCCAATGTTAATTGGCCCAGTACTGTCTCCCTCCATAAGTCGAATTAGACCATCAACCTTCACCATTAACAAACCTCTCAGTGGTAGATAAAAACTAAACTCAGATAAATACCTCTCCATTATACTGCGAAATTGAAATGACAAACTAAAGAAAATAGTGTACCATATCAGAAACATAGCAGAAGCTACGGGTCTGTGTTCCGGGCAACTGCACAGTTAAGGGTTCATTGCTGCATGACCATTACAAGAAAAAGGTAAATGTCAAAGCAACTACTCTTACTCAGATTGGTCTTCCACGATACACTAATGCACAATTTGGTTTTCAACTCTTTTAAAGAGTCAAATCTGTCCCTAACTATGCGCAGTTTCACCTTATTGAACTCTCATACATCTTTGGTTCTAAACTAGGAGGGGTATTTTCATCAACTCACAAATTTGGTCCCTAACCCTGCCCAATTTGGTCCTCATTGGATGAAACCCCCCTAGTTATAGTTAACTATGTTAGTCTATATTGCATAGTCCAAGACCAAATTGAGTAATAGCATATAATCAGGACTGAATCAGACATTAAAACTCGGTCCAGTTTTCAACCCGATCCGCGCATTGGATCAATGGTTAAACTAGTTGGTCATTAATTGAACTGCATGACCCGTTGGACATGGTCTTATTGCACCGTCAATCCAATATTAGGATCGGACGGCTAATAACTCCAGTTACCTGCTGAACCGACCAATCCCAGTTTTATAACACTAACTGAATATATTACCGAATAGCTTGAGCAATGAAGTTGCTGACAACACGCCCGTCATCAATGTTCATTCTAGGTCCGTAAGTGTTGAAGATTCTAGCAATACGGATTTCTGTCATTTTTGTCCACAAAAGAAAGTTAGGATATGGGAACACAAATGAATATATATATATATATATACGTGTGTGTTAGATGGAACTTGGGGACATGAGTTACCTATTCCATGTTGCCTGTGATAATCAAACATCAAAGTCTCGGCCACTCTCTTCCCCTCGTCATAGCAGCTTCTAACTCCTGAGTTCCAAATAAGAAAAACTTTTCTCCATTAACACAGGAAAGGTGGCCTAGATTAAAATTTTCAATCCAAGAATTCAAGAAAAAATCATGAATTTCAATTATTTTATATTTTTAGTAATTTTGAATAACTTTTTCATTAAAATTAGTACATAATAATTTATCGAAGAACTTCATAGAAATTAATAAAAAAGAATTGTAAATAACAAAACAATTCAAGACTCGGTCCTAATTTGATACACTTTTATTTGAGCCGAGTCTTAAACTGATAGTTTCAATTATCCAGTCCTAAATTGATAGTACACATATTCAAGATCCTTGATTCATTGATAGGTTATAGATAACCTATGAGGTAAGGGTCAGATTGTTACTTGAAGTTGCATAAAAAGGGTCAAATAAGTCCCTATATAGGCGGTTCTGTCCGGCCGTCGCCATTTGGGACGGTTCCCGGTGGAATTTTTTGACGAAATATTTTGAGCATCTCATTCATTAAGTCTAGTTTACTCATACCAAATTTCAGCAAAAAATTCATCCGGGAAGGCATTCAAATGAATTCTTGAAGATAACTGCCCAGTTAAAAACGCAGTTATCTTCAAGAATTTATTTGAATGCCTTCCCGTTTGAAGTTTTAGATGAAATTTGGTATGAGTAAACTAGACTTAATGAATAAAATGTTGAAAAAATTTCATCAAAAAATTCTACCGGGAACCGCCTCAAATGGCGACGGTCGGACAGTAAGGACTTAGTTGACCCTTTTTATGCAACTTCGAGTATCAATCTGACCCTTACCTCGATAACCTATTGATCGGGAAAACTCTAAAAATGGAAAAGCGTATAATGATGGTGGTTTGAAAGTTCATCTAATCATTCTTTGTTTAGATGGTTACAAAGGGAAGGACAGTATGGGCAATAGGTTTTGCACAATACAAACTTTATAGTGTTAACTAATTTTAGTGGACTGTAAATTACTTCACCACAATTTCAGTGATGGCTCTGATATAATGGATCAATTCAAGTCAGCCGACCCCAAAATCTTTTGGGAATAAGGCTTGAATGTTGTTGTACTGTAAATTATGTCACCAAATCCTATTAGTTGGGAAACTTGGGATTAAGATTAGAGTGGTGATGATGATTAACAACACACCCCTAAAGAGTTGGTCTATGTTGACATAATAATCAACAGTTTGATTACCAATTGGATTAACATTGCCCCAATAGCTCTCGTCCTGAGGGTGCACAAGAGGATCTCCATAAACCTCTGAAGTTGACGTCAGCAGAATCCTGTAATAGGCACAGACGCACAGTTCATACCGTAATCAGGATCACCATATAAACTAAGGGTGTATTCGGATAAAATATTTTGGATGTGAAGATTTTGGAGAGTTCAGTCTTGGAATACCCTAAGGGTCTGTTTTGTTTTGAACGTAAAAAAGATGGCCGGGTTTTATAAGATCACATATTAAGTTAAATCTTTCATTTTTTATGAATTCTCAAATAAAAATATATCAAGATATAGACCACTGCCTCCAAGGCTCTCTCTTCCAAAACCATCCAGTAAAACAGACCCTAAAATGAAGAGTGTAAGTTGATACCAACCTTGCTCCAACTCTCTTGGCAAGTCCCAACATGTTTAATGTCCCAATTACGTTTGTCTTAATTGTCTGCATAGTCAAATCCAAAAGAAACAAGAAGATCATAACTGTGACTTAGCTGCCCAACCTATCGAACACAACTACACTTGAATATAGTAACCTATGTTTACGCTTCTTACTCTTTATTATAAAATAGTATAAGTAAAATTAGCTTTATAGGGTTTGAAGTGGATCTTTATGTTCCCCACTTCTCTTTTCAACCAAATCTACTCTCCATATTTTCTTTGCCTTAGCACTTTCAAAGTTCTATGTCAGACTCACTACCCAAACAAGACTATCTCCAAAGAGGAGAGAGAAGTTGAAAGGGGGTGAAACTTGAAGCACTTACCATTTGAACCTACATTTTTTCAGCTTTTCTCCATTTTTCCTTTCTATTTCTTTGAACTCAAATGCTCCAAAACCCGCACTTTCTTATATGCTTCTTTTTTCATATTTCTCTATTTTCCCAAAGCATAAGTTACTCTTACAATGTAGTAGAGCAGAGATGTATCTAACACAATAGAGTTATCTTGCATGTAGAGTGTTATGATAATCCGAACTTGAGCAAATTTAGTTTAAAGGTGGTATAACAATTACTCCAATAGCCCACTCTATTTCACACATTCTTTCTGGAACTCCACTAGACCACTAATATTGTCTACTTCCCTACTTACCCTTGTTTGAATCGTGAAATGGTGTATTAAACAACCCACCCAAGTTTCCCTGCTTTAACCCGACTTCTAAGAGGGTAAATTTGGAAAATTATCATTGAAATTTGTCTTCATAGTGTCAGGGAAAATAGCAATTAAAATTGAGAGCCTCGTAAAACAAGAGAGTGCCCAAAATTAATAGTAAAACCAAGGCAGACATAACAAGATTACTGGTATTAACCAACCTTAACAGGATTGTATTTGTAGAAAATGGGGGAAGCAGGACAAGCAAGATGATAAATTTGGTCAACCTCCACCAACAGTGTCTCTGTGACATCTGCATTACAAAAGAAAATGGAATAAGTAAAAAGGAAAGTAAATCAAGAATGGTATGAAAATACTGAGACAAGAAAAACGAAAAGAATTTACCATGGCGAATAAGCTCAAATCTTGGATGGCCAATCCACTGTTTGAGGTTTTCCTTTGATCCAGTGAAATAGTTATCCACAACAATAACCTGTTTTTGAGGTGAAATCCTACCATAAGTTACCCACAACACTGGTTTTAAACAATTGCTTTACATATTTTTCCAAAATAATGATTACTTCTGACTCCATTGAACCAAACATAGGACAGTATTCTTTTACTAGTCCCCCCCCCCCCCCCCATCTCCTGCCCCTCGTTTGAACCAACCCAGAACTAAGCCTATGACCGGTCCCAAACAATAAACGAACAATCCAAGCCAGCCCAGAAACCAATTACCTCATTCTTCTCATTCTGCATAAGCTTGTCAACAAGGTGAGACCCAATGAAGCCAGCGCCACCAGTTACCAAAATCCTCATGTTTGCCTAGTATTACAATGTAGAAGATGAAAATAAGAAATTAAGACATTTGACAGAATTTATGAGGGAAAAAGTCCAAAACATATTGAATATTAACAAAATATGAATTTGGAAACTGTAAAATTAACTAGGTTCTACCTGAAAAAATTTGGCCTTTCTCAAAGGTGAAGGCTCTGGAGGGGGCTTTGTTCCATTGGTAGCCATTTGCCAAATCACTCACCTACGAAACAAGGCCAGATTTCCATAAGATTCAAATCAATGACCATGATTCAATTGAAATAAAAGAAGAAAAATGCAATTTTTCACGATTGACTAATCATGCGAATACTAAAATGCAGTAGAGGATCTTCCAAGCGAAGGTTAACAATTACTTCAAACATACTCCGTAATTTAATAGGTAAGACAAAATTATTTATCACCTAATTGTTTGTAAATGGTAGAAATGTCTGAATAAGGGTACAATATCAATGCAAGTATTTATAACGATCCAAAGAACAGCCAAAAAATGGTAGAAAATATGATTGCTGATTTCCAGAAGAAACTCAAAATAATTTAGACAACAAAAAAATGATAAAGGAGACCGTGAAGGCAGCGTAAAGTGGAAAAAAGCGAAAGAAAGTGAAGTGTGATCTAAGCTTCATGTAATAACAACCAAAAAGAAAGCAGACCCACACAGAACTGTGCAGATCTGAACCTAAATTCCTCTAAAGATTAAACCTTTATCCTATAGACAGTGATGGTTCAACTTATAATTATATATTTATATAAAAAAACATTACCGACTAAAATATCTGAAAGAATCGATGATGATATGATGAACCCTGATAAGATTTCAGACTTTTGGAGATAATTTAGGACCAAGTGATCAATTATGCGTGTATATATATACCCACAGAAGACGTGTTCTAGTAAACGATGAATTACTATTGTAACCGCAGATTTGGAGATTTTGACTGACTAAATATGGAAACTTTTATCCTCCAGGTAGATACCAGGTCGACGTGGTGTTGATTCAATGTCGGGTTTTCCCTTTGAGGTAAAAAAAAAAAACGAGATACATCAACTGAACAACGAGTATTACAAGGTCGCCTGTAATATTCACGTCATAAATAATTTCTAAAGAAGGCTAGAGAAAATCAGAAAATCGTGTATAATGATATACGGAGTACCTTCAGATTAAAGGATAAACTCTACCGCGTAAGCATCCAGTCAGTATTAATAAATGCATCCAAATGATAAAATAGAATTGGTACACGATACTGAATTACAGATAAAAAGAATATTTTGACTCAAAATAATTTTTTTAAATAGAAATTGAATACGGGAGTATCTTTTATATACTCCGTAAAAGTGTTTTATGTTATTGAATCAAAATGTGTGGAAAAGTACTACCTCAATCTTTTTAGTTAGTCATCCTTAAAATATCTGGGTGAAAATAATTAGTTTTTTCTTTTGAAAGGGTGAAAATCATTAGTTTGGTTAGTCATGTTAGCAATTGTATCTTAGAAAAAATCCTAAATTTCATAATTTTATTCTTTCAAAAAAACTTTATAATTTTATGATAACTTTTAACAAAAAACATTTTCGCTTCATTTTCTTATTATAAATATTTTTTATACAAATAAAATATATTTTCGATCAGTATAGTGTCTTCCTGGAATGGTCAAAAAAGACTAATTAAAAAGAGAATAATTTTATGATCACCTAATTACAAAACCAGCAAATATTTTTATCAAATTTTCAAAAAGCTCAAATATAAAAATTACTCCCTCTATCCCATTTTATAAGATATCTTTGCTATTCACTTGGTCAACACAAGTCACTCTTAATCTCTTACTTCATATATCAAAATTTTATTAAATTTGATTTATTTAAATTTTATTAAATTTGATTTATTTATTGTAGGTTCTGTAGCGAGTGTAAATAGGGATCCGTTTCCTTTATCGTCAAACATCCCAAACCGAGAAATAACTCGGGACGGAGGGAGTACATCACAAGGATCGATGTGTTATCATGTGTAAATGTGTCAGGTTGGAACTTGGAAGTGAAGGACAGATGTTTTATGTGCAGCTACGAAGACGTCACCACATATTGAGGATGTTTTCTATGGGAAAATAAGTCCCAAATCACATCAGTTTTTCGTAATTTCATAAAATACACAATAAACACAAACCAGACAATTATCAGATAAGATCAAACAAGACCAGATCAAATCAGCAACTTTCAATCTAAAAGAAAATATTTGACACAGTAGTTTATATGATGATCTACGCCATCAACCTGTATGACAATATTTGTGTCATAATTAAAAATATTTCTAAACAAAATAATTGCATTTTTTTAGATACTCTGTATAACATTTGATTAAATTTCTCTCGTTTATTACAAAAAATGGTTTCACTAAAGCCAACATTTCGGCAACTTCAGACTAACCCATTATCAGTGGCGGAAACAGGTGAGGGGCCTCAACCCTCTCAGAAAAAATATTACTCCGTATGATGTACTCCGTATATACATATTTATAAATATTTATAAACAGTAAACAGCAGTGGCGGACCCACTAAGGGTCCCACGGGGTCCCGGGACCCCGCACACTTCGAAAAAAATACCTATATATTATATATATATTTTTTATAAAAAACTATTTACAAAGTGTATATTTACGATAAAAACAAATGAAAATCTAAAGGGCTTGAGTAGAGGAACGGTAGGATGCATAGACGTGAGGCTTATTATTATTTACAGGTGCTGAGTTCGACTCCTGGCTCCTTCTTGTTTTTTAGACTTATTTTTTGGCCTATTAAGTAGCACAAAACTAAGCATTTTGGCCTATTTTTTAAATCCCAATCCGCTGACCACAATAAATGGATCGGGTCCTTTTCTTTGAATGTTAAGATTAGATCAATAAATTTGGGTAATTCTATTCACAGCCCTCAAATTATTAATCACAGCCATTAAATAAATCTAATACCTAAACTACCCTTCTATCAATAGGTGAGAAACGTAAGATCGTTGAAATAATATACAGTACTATCGTATAATCTGTCTTCTTTATTTTCTTGAGGAGGCGGTAATGGGCAGCTCCTCGTCCACCAGAGCCTCGGCCAGAGCAAAAGAGGCGGTACCAAGCCCTTCCCCTGACTGGCAGCTCCTCCCCTCCCACTCGGACGGCGGCGGTGATTAAAGTTTCTTCCCCTTTCATGCCACAGCACTGGCCGGGAGCACCCCATGGCGGAAGGACGTGAACTTGTCTTTCGTTTACAGCTACTCCAAGTTCTGGGTGTTCAATTGTGCAGCGGTGAGGACAAAGGAGACTAAGTACTTACAGACTTGAGTCTATTGGAGAACTATGACAGTTAAAATTGACAGAAGAAATACAAAATTCAATGTAATTGACTGAAGGAATCCAAATGTTTTGCATTGAAAATCATCTTTCTTGATATCTAATTGCCGGGAAAAATTTCTCACTCGAAAAACCCACCGCAATTCTCATCATCTCCGTCCACCACGATAGAATCTCCTGTTTTGCTCGCATAGGAAGTGTTGGCAGAAAATAAATCAAATCAACTTCACTTTGGATTGCTATGAAGAACGAAAGGTCTTTAGAGAGATTTATTAACAATTATTTTGTGGGATGAGGTGCAGACATCTTTATACAAATTGATTGCCATTAGAGAGTAAAGCTTTGTGAGTTTGTGCGCCTTTGGATATGCTGAATTGCTGATTGCCGAGTGCGTAGACTATGTTAGCTTACATGATAATAAGGGTGTTATGGGAATTAAAAAATATGTGTCTGTATTTAGTAAATGAGTGTTTGTAAATAGAATTACCCATAAATTTATGTATTTATGAATGGATAGATCGGGTCCTTTTCTTAATATTACTATACTAAACGGTATAGTAATATTTTAAGCCTCGGCCCCCAACATAAATCTACCACTGTCGACGATTACAGGTTTACCAAGCAACAACACTAATCTATTTCCACTATTCAGTCTATTCTACACGAGCATCAAAACGAGCAGTTCAACATTGCAGGATTAACAAGCACATGAAGAATGAAGGCATTATCATCATTATTATTATTTAAAAAGGTGATGATAGCAAAGATAGTATACTGATCACTACAGCGAAAAATAGGGAAGAGACTAACAAGAAGAATAACATGTACTCTCCAGTAGACAGAAGGCACCCTAATATTCTGAATTGTTAGTTCCCAAAATCATGGCAACTAAGATCCAAAGCATAACTACACCTATGATAATGATCTTTATAAGCGGTTCCTTCGTCAGAGGATAAAACCTAGGATTCATGTAAGAAACTGTATGACCGTGAAATTCAGGGGTGTTGTCATTGTCGTCATTGGAGTTGTGTGCAGTGGAGGAAGAAGCTGTCAACTGGATTTCTTCAACAGTGACCTCTGGAATCCTTTGAGGCGAACATTTTGAACACGAGCAATTTCCACCAAGGAAGACAGGGACCGACTCCAGCTTCTTTGAGAGATACTCCTCATAGTTCCTTCCTATGATCTCAACTTTCTTCCTAGTGGCTGGTCTCAGAACCTGCATCCATAAAACTTTGCATTGTAGTCTCCGTTTGATTGCAGGGAAAGAAGTAGTTGCAAGTTGAGAATGTTTTGATCATGAAAATATGTTTATTCTATACTCCGTATATAATATGGTATAATAATTTCAATCTATAAAAATAGAAAGTGTCATGTTGATTAAGAATTGATCTTCTCTTTTCCGGAAGAGTCTTTTCAAACCCTGAAAATACTAGAGAAGTATAATGGAAGGAAAACACTAGGAAATTGGAATGCCAGAAAAGATAAGGTGAACACACAAAATAAAGTAGGTTTTGCCTTAGTTATTTTTCTGGAAAGGATTCTACCAAATTCTTTTCTTTTTTAGAAGCTTAAGCACACTCAATCATTTTGACCAAATATCATTTGCGAAATGGGCTCTAACATAGTTTAGCTATTTGTATACGTGTTCAGAAAATCTATGTATATGAACCAATAGTCATCACCTATAAAGAAGTAAAAAGTTTTTTATATTCCCTTTTTCAGGTAATTAAGGAAGGAAAGGTCACAAAGGTTTACAGAAATAATAAGTTTACCTGGAGAAGAGTCTGCATTATTACATGGGCAACACGAGGGATGCGTATGACCATCAATAAGTAAAGATGGTTAGGATAATGGTCTTGAAGAAGGGTGGCACAAGATCTCATCATCTGGATAGGGAACCCAAGGGGCGACAGTCCATCACAATCCATTAACACCACAATCTGAGGATGCTCTGTATCAACAAAACTCACAACTCCATGTTCTATCTGTGAAACTGAATAGCAAAAAAGAAATCACTTTAGTACACTTCACTTGACATGACAATATTTTCCATATACTGTAAATTGAAAGAGAACAAAAGATTTTAAAAAAATTCTCATTGTTCCTTCACTAGAAAGATTGGGCATCAAGTAAAAAAAAGCCACTGTTTTTGCATGAATTTACAGTACTAAATACTTTTTTACAATTAATTGACAATATGTTTCCCTCTTGCATATGAGAAGAGATAATCATTCTTATCCTATTGCTACCTCAAATTTGTTTCGTTTAAAATCCTACACCATACGGAGGTCAGCTAAGTACTTCGTAAATTATGAGCCCGTTTGGTAACACTAAAATTGGCAGCATCGGCTAGATTTGGTAAATTTCTGGCTGAAGAGGATGAATCTGCTGAATTGTGAAAATATTTATTAAAATTTATTTTAATCATTCAAATAAAGAAAAAGTACATGAAAAATAGCTAAATTGATCCACTTCAGCAATTTCACCCAATTCAGTCACAAAAGTAACTCCAGCCTTGCTTATTTGAATTATTGCACAATTCGGCGCTGTAAATCAAAAGTCAGGTGTTTGGTAAAAGTTGGCTGAAAAGCCGAATTGTAATCTTATAAGAACAGCAAAATTCGTGTCTGTGCAAACTCCATAAGTATTAGATACTACTACTATCATTCTATGAGAGTTACCAGTAAACTTCTTCTGCAAACTTTGTGTGATTATTCATTGATATAATTTCATACATATGAGGCACAAACTTTCTGATCCTAATTAGTAAAAACTGACTAAATTGAGAGTCAAGATTAGGACTTCTTGCCTAACACGCTCCATACAGTATATCCTTCCATTTATCACACTTACCAATATGACCAGACTTCAAGCAAGTATGAGTTGTTACTGGTAAGAAACTAATAAAGATATTTACCAATAACTTTTCCTAAAAAGTCTCTCTTAGTGGATTTAAGGTTGGAGCAAGCAAGTCCGAGTCGAATGATGAGACAAGGAAGTTTTCTTGAATCATATCCATGCCAAAAGATAACATTAGACCAAGCACTTAGCTCTTCTTCTGAGAGGAAAGTGTAACTCTGCCTCCACTGAATGGTCTTCTTGACCAATGACATGGTCCTTTGAAAATCACCTCTTGTTGAAGCATAAAAGCGACGAATGTAATCATCATCAATCCTAACAAGACAGCACCACGAAATATCATATAAGATGAAATATGGATAACATAGCTGATGCATGCATATTTTTGTAAAAAACAACCGAATGGTATCATTATTATTATTATCATCATCACCACCACCATCATAATAATAATAATAATAAGACAGAGCAATGATCTTGGAAAGTAAATGGCAATACAGCTTTTTACAGATAAAGTATAAGACTATAGTATGCAGTCATATACAACTATAAACCCTAGGGTTTAGCTCATTACACTTAGGGACCATCAATTTACCGATGTAAGCGGCATTTAAGTATTCAAAAAAATAAAGTTGTAAGGAAAAATATCAATAAAACCAGTAGTTTGTTATTCAATATTTACATGCACATACAGTCAAGTGAAACAGGATTGCTCGTTTATGCCCATCCATTACAAAAAAATCACTACAGGGGGTTGTAATCACCTCTCAGGTAGAGTAATATCTTCCATTTCGAGCTTGTTATGGAGGTCAAGCAACCAATTTTCAGAATGGTAAGCATCTGGCCCATTGTGATAGCAGCTGAAATAGAATCATAATCTCAAGGTTATACAAACAGCCTAAAACATTGATTCACCTTATTCAGACTGAATAAAGAGAGCTTGCAAGCAACTTGCAGATATGCACCTAAAATTGATTACCTTGTCTCTGAAAGCTGTAGCTGAGATTTAGGTGTTCGAGAAACATTAGAATCATATGATGGGTCTTCACTTGGTGACGAGTCATCGGAGAAAAGTGTTGCAATTGAAAGAAATAACATTGGTCCAGAGATTTTCTGGCAAAATAAACAGAACTTCACAACATGAGCATTATATAGGAATAAAATATATACAGGGAAGATGGATCACAATAGCAGGTTATGTTTGAAAGACAATATCATGTATTGAACAGGAAATCACATAGGTAGTAACTATGACGTTGCAAACTAAAGATCATGAATAAAACAGCCCTATTGCTAAAACTTCCCAAGAAGTAGGCCTGAATAGTACCCTAAGTCCTTATCATATACAGAGTATCAATTAAAAATACTCCCAATACTCCAATCATTAAATGCTTTTTTGTCCCAAAAAAGTACTCTAAGATCAAATGAAGACGATTTTTCAACAAATTTGCAAAGTAACCAATAAATTTAGTTTGATATGTTTAGCTAAATCATTAAAAATAATAGGTATCTGACTTATCACAGTTGTAACTTCCCAAAAATTAAAGGTGTACTCTGGTCAAACGGGATTCTTAATATGGGACTTGGGGACTGTATTGCTAGGTGGATAATGACCTTTGCTTACATCAATATATCTGGTTTAGAAAAATTATACAAATATCAAACATTGGCTAAAATTCTAGTACATAACTGATAACCACAACCTTTCCGTGGATCAAAATTCTATCTGAAATCCAACTTCATCCTGTTTTTTAGGTCAACACAACAATAGATGATTCTAAGGTTGGAACATGATAAATTTGTTTAGTATATCAAAGCAGCTAATCAATAGTTAATAAAAAAATGTTATTGTTATAAGAAAGATACCCCTCTGTCACAAAAATGTGTCCCGATTGGTCAAGGCATAATTTTTTTTATAGTGTCTTATAACTTTGCAGCATCAACTGCCATCAAGTTAAACTCCAAAGTATAAAATGCTAAGCAAATACCTAAATGAAAAGTCTCCACTGTCTTAATATAACGAGTGAAATGCACACACCTCAATGGGGGGATCCTATGGACACTATACATCATAGAATGAGAAACCAACCTGCATTTCTTTGGCTAGAGGCTTGAAAGGAATCCATTTCTGCATCCACTTCAACGGTGGATAACATATAGCTTGTAATGCCTGGAGACCATTCCAAATGAAAGGACACTTTGACTTGGAGAACCTCCTCAGAACTTCTAAAGCAGCAGTTGTGATAAAAAACATAACCACATTATCCACAGCTCCACCAGTTCGTACACATTTCTTGACTGACGTAATGCACTTCAAAGCCTTCGATGTGAAGTGCTCAGAGGCTGTAGCAACTAAATAGTTTTTCGGTAACTTTTTTCTATTACTTATGACCCCCACATTCAATCTCTCTGTTGCGTTTGAGTGTGACTCAAGCGACGTGTCTCCCAAATCTCGGTCCATTGAGTGCTTATCAGGAAAAGTTTAACCTTGAAGAATCCACCACTTCTCTACACATAGTAATCATCCACTGATCCACCAACCTGTAAGCGAAATAAATGATAACTGAAAAGCTTAGAAATATCGCCCAAACAGCAATCACGGACTACAGCCTAGGATTCGCGCATACGAAAAAGGGGGCGAAATTGACTCAAACTACAGCTGCTTGAATTTGGTAAATAAGTTATCTAGATTTACTAAACTCGGAAGGGGAGAAATTGAATTACGTTATCCAAATAATAAATGCTAAGGTTTAAATCGATCAATTTACCTTAACCAGCGGCCTATATCAGCGAAAGAGCACTCATCCGAAAAATTTACCCTTTTTCCATTTGGCTTAACGAATCTTAACACAATAAGGTTGTGATCGGGAGCGTATCCATGCTAGGGTTTAAAAGGGGGAGAGAAGACAAGACTTGGCTCCGGTAATTTTCCAGACCAGATGATAATGATATGCTCCGTCTTTGTTTGTTGGTTACAGAATTATATTTTCATTTTCTTGAGAGAGAAACGATCAACGGTTGATAATGGAGGGGGAAATTCACGTGTTTGTCGTTGCCGCCGCTCTCTGTTTTTATAACTCGACCAACACACTGACGTGGTAACGTATTCGCAGCTTATTATGCGTAGAATTATCAATTTTAAATGAGAAACTACTCCAAATAGAAATTAAATTAAATAGGAGTGATTAATTCCTTGTTTTGTTCTTGAAGACTTTTATACTAAGCGGAGGTGATGAGGTTTGTACTCTGACAACGTTTGGCTCATGTAGACCCAAGATAGGATTAACGAATCATATTGTTTTGCATGGCGTGATTGATTCTCCAGCTGGTTCGAGGGTCGGTGGACGGAAGTGTTTACTTTATCAGTATTATCCCTTGCTGAGTGTTTCATTATCGATATAAGTCTCCCAGTCACAAAAAAAAAATGATTAATTTTTATAGAATTATCCCGCCAAAAAAATATAGAATTATATAAGTAGTTAAAGTTTCATTTGTAAAACACAAGAAGTCAAGAAATCATTGCAATCATATATAGTCAAATTGTTAATTACAATATTAAATTCAATTTGGAATTGAAGGCAGTATATATATTGTACGAGTATTAAACTATTAATTAATTAATAGAAAATGTACTCAACGTTTTAGAAGAAGGACGATCAAATAAAAAATATGTTCACCTGCATGACTAACACCCTCCCCTCCCTCTGTGAAAAGCGGTGGTAACCTAGCGTCGTCTAGGGCTTGCTTTGGCGGGCGGCGGTGAAGTTTCACGGCGAGGGAGTCCCGAAGTGTGGCCAACGAGTGTTTGGGGAACGGAAAGCACAGGGCGTGAGACTGGGCGTTAATTTCGAAGGATATCTCGGAATTCGGTATTAATCGTATCGAAGGCGAGTGCTCTGGGTGAATACTCCCGATAAGTCTAGCGAGGTGTGACGGTGCAGAGCTCCAATGTAGGGATTTCAACCAGGGATTTTTCAGATTCGTTTTGTGACCGATGTAAAACAACTTTTGGTGGGCAGATCAGTTTGTGGTGAGCGTGTTGTGCGATTAAGGAGGTGTTGCACTAATTTTCTAGGCTTGAGGCGGAAGATACCCACGTATCTATTGTTGTTCTCCAGTTTGGTGTCGATGGCTTTTAGGGGTTTCGAAGGTGATCGTGGATCTGCGGCGGCTAGGGTTGCGAGACCCAAGTCTCCGATGCTTCGATTAGTTATTTTGGCTCTGATGGTGATTGAGTTGGGAGTTGTACCAACTGTGTTTGATCCGGGTGGAACGCTGACGGTTTGGATACCAGTTAAAGGGGGCGGATTTGGGCTCCAATCGGCTATTGGGGGATCGGTGTGGTTGCTTTGGCCACCTCCGACGGTGGAGGAAGAAGATGGTATGTGGATGATTAGTCCCCCTCCCGAACTGCCGCCACTGAGGAAGTGTGTGACTAGGCTGTGGAATACAATACTTGAAGAATGAATGGACTCCATTCTTCTACAAGCTGGAGTTTAATTATTTTTACTATGTTCTGCTTGCAAGTATTTATTTTATTCTTATTAAGCCAAATAAGAAGAATGGTAGGCTCTTAGTTTGTTTTTTCTTAGGTGTTAGATTCCTATTGAGAGGCAATGAGGCTGATGCATACACTTATAGCCTCAAAGCTCCCACATTTTCAGCGATAGTCTCGCTCTGTTTGGGGTGGACTATTCTATGTCTTATAACGAAGTGAGGGGGCGGTGGGCTTAAGGGTAGGTTGGTTTAGAGGGAGGTTAGTGTTGGATAATTACTTTATGACTTGCAATTTTCCTGGTTGTACTGCGAATTTGATTTAATATAATGGGTCAGTTTTTCTTTTCAAAAAAAATGTAGTCAACGTTTCAGAAAATTTGTCATTTTCTAGACCAATTGTATGTAACTATTTTTATGATGGACTTTTTCCTATTTTTAGACAATTAATGTACTTAGTTCGAAACAATAAAAGCAAATGTAATAACACCATACACAATATATATATATATATATATATATATATATATAACACATATATATAGATATTTCAACTGAAAATGTTGTAAAGATATTTTCACTTCGACATGTTTTAGTCACAAAATTGACTTTTTTTGGGAAGAAGAGAACTTAAATTGATATCACAACATTCAGCGGATAGGGAGTAAAACGACAAAAGGACTACATGCAACTGTCAGCCCTCAAACCAGACTTAGAGTCAACCACATTCAAAAAAACAATATAACTTGTTGATCCTATAATAGGCATAAATGAGCCAACGACAGTTGAAACAAGTCTCCCATCACCCAATCCTAATGAAAGAGTCTTACAATAGTAAAAGTAACCAACAGAAAAATAAACAGTCTGATAATGAAAAAGAAATCACAAGCAAACAGTAAAATTCAAAAGCTGCTTCCAAAACATAAACTCTCATGTACTCCATAGCAGCGGTTTAGGAGGGGGGCGATCCGACATTACTGTAGCTTCTTCCCCACCTCCTCCTATTCATCATGTTCTCTACCGAGTCTCCTCTGTCGCCACCTAACACAGATGACATTGAATCCAGATTTGTTCCAACCTCTAGCCCCTCGCTACGTCCATGACCTTTGATCACCGGAGACCAAGCATATGTCTTCCGTCCCTGCACAACCTTCGGCCTACGGAGATTGTTGGGTTAATGGCCCAACCAGGGGTCCGCCCATTACCCCCTTAAATAAAGGTCCACCAGACGTTCGTCTAAGGCTCCAAGCCCGCCAGGGGCAGCTATCCACAAAACAACCCACAACATCATATTTGTGATGTTTTTACTAGAAAACCCATTTTTCATCTATGTGTATGACATTCTGAAAGTTTATAAAAATTGGTTTTGTTGGATTTGATGTGTCTACCTGCCTATAACAGAAATTCAGTCTTTACATCCTGTTTGTGTCACTTAGCAAAGGCTTTATAGCATTAATGTGACTTCTGAGAATACCTCTATGAAAAAGCCTGTGAATGGTTGACCTTGACAATGAAGAGGCAGAGGAGAGTGCCCTTATGTTGGTCCTTTTATGGAGAGGGATTTCTGGAATATGACTAACATCAAACATGACTCTTTTTCTGCCTGAGTCTCTCACCCACTTTGTACTTACATCTACAGCATCCCCCTTTTCAAGTTGCTCTTTGGCTGTGTTCCAAATGTTGAAAATAGTTCTTCTAGTCACTGAGTATTTAGTGGCTAGCTTAGAAAACACACCTCTGTGAGCTAGTAATGCCCCATAAAAATCTCTTTTAGCAGTGATTAGCATTTAATCTACTATGCTCTCTCTTTCCTTGTTTCCTAATCTTTTTGCTATGATATTTGAGCTTGGGTCTTGTGTTTTTGTTTGCAAATCTGTAGAAGAGCCCAACGAAGATGAAGGCAGATCTTCATTTGTGGAAGGTGCAGAAGCAATTAATGGAGATGAAGCCAAATCTTCATTTATGGAAGGTGCTGAAGCAGTTAATGGAGATGAAGCCAAATCTTCATTTATGGAAGGTGTAGAAGAGGAAGAAGAAGATTGTGCAGCATTTATGTTGGTTGCCATAAATGTAGTCTGCATGTAGTCTAGTATGTTGTGTGTGTTGTGTGTAGTAAACTCTTCTTTTATAAAGTGTATTTATAGATGGTAAAAAGGGAGAATTTTGGAGGGAAGTTTTTATGTAAGTAGGGTTTCCAAAACGGTCTGGATTGTATCCTATGCGCAGGGAATTATCCCTTGTTTTACAACTATCACATCAAATTTAGCTTTTTTGTACTTGCAGTAATTTTTTTACCCCCTTCCCTTTCGGCCGCCTCTTTATTTATTATAGGGGTATACATGGAAAGTCAATGCCATTTATCACTTGCACTAAACTCCGATCCGAGTCAAAGTGAGAAGATTTTTCCGGAACGGAGGGAATACTATTTGTACTACCCAGGGGCAGGTGGGTATGCTGGCGTGGAGAGCTGTGGGTGGATAGACTCCCAACCACCTAATCTCCAGCATTAAATGTGCTTCCCGTTAGAATCTTGGTTTCCCGCCAAACGTTGGGGACGGGCGTCCCCCTGGGCATTGGGCCTTCTCTTGGTGTAGGATAAGGGCCAAGAGCCGAACGTATTCAGCGCGTTTGCTTAGTTGTAGTTGCCATAATATACTGGCTAGTCTTCGTGGCAAGGTTCCCGAGGCCAAGCGTCCTCTTCCTGAGACGTACAAGATACTACATAGGCCTACAAGAGCAGGATCCACATAGAGTATGCAAATCCTAAAGATTCATAACTAAAGTTATGTCACTAGGAGCAGTTGGTAGGCTTCTATTTTCATATAATGGTGATGTTATCTGGGGTGGAAAAATTGGTATTTTCCCATTTGTTGAGAAAGTGGCAGTTAAAAGAAAAGGCAAAAACAGAAATGCGGGGTCATGGAAACCAAGACTATACTTAGCATTACAAAAGCAGTGTTTAAAGACATGTTAATACACACAGTGCTACCTACAATCAAGGACAAATGGCCAGAACAATTAAGCAAGGAAATCATTATCCAACAGGATAATGCAAGACCACACATTCTAGATTCTGATCCATATTTTATGGTTGCCTCTAAAGCAGATGGGTTTAACATTACCCTTACTAATCAGTCCCCTAATTCCCCAGATCTCAACATACTAGACCTTGGATTCTTTAGGGCAATCCAATCTCTAAAAGACCACAAAGCACCTAAGGATGTGGATGAAATGCTACAGGCAGTTGATGAGACATTTACGAGCTTTTCACCCATGACTCTCAACAAGGTGTGGCTTAGCTTTCAATATGTGATGTTAGAAATTTTCAAAGTGGGGGGGGGGGGGGGACAACTACAAGCTACCACATAATGCAAAGGATAGAATGATTGCAGAAGGAACTCTGCCCACAAGCATAGAAGTTGGTGTGGAGCTGCTTGATGCTGCAGGATGTCTTTTATCCCAACCAAAAACTACCACCAGTACTAATCATGACTCAGAAGAGCCAAATAACGGGGAGTTCATACTAGACCTGATGATGAGGAATAGTTCATCTTCAGTTCTTCACTCGTGAACTCTATCCATTATTGAATATGCCTGATTTCTTGTCATTTTGTAAAGGCCTATGCTTATTTAAATTTAGAAAAGGTCACAGT